AGCAGTTCCAAGAATGAATACATAGACCAGTGACTGAATCGATGGATGAAGCAGTCTCTTCCATAACGACTGTCATTTTCTGCCTCTCAGGGACAGTGAACTGCCAGTCTCTCCAAGGTCCCACAATACCCCATAAAGTAGTTCAGTTTGTCAGAAAATCCATTCTCAACTTTGGCTCTTCTAAGATACCTGGGCATCTTGTCAGGATTATGGTATTCTGGACACTTCTATATATTTGTCATTAGTAACACAAATCACACCTTCCAGCTTAATTTTATGACAAGTTCTCACAACCCAGCCAAGAGATATGATCAAATAAGTACTATGGATCTAATTTACTATCTACTGTCACTCCTTCCAGGCTCTGGTGAGAGACAATAATGCTACTTTTCACCATAGACCACAGTTCAAAGAAAACCCTCCCAAATGTGAAGGAAAACCATTTTAAATACTATGTTTCTTAGAAGCACCACATACAGTACTTCTCAGAGTGTGAAGTGTGACACTGTGTCACTGCCCCACAAGCATGGACAATTCCATCCTTATGAAGACCAAGACCCAAAGGGCAAACACAACAGCTTGATTCTTTTTTTCCAATACATATTTTTATTGAGTTTTTGTGCATTTTATATAATACTTCTTAATCATAGTTAGACCTCCCTCCCTTATCTGCACCCTCATAGCCCTCCCAACTGAAGTTCATGCATTCTGTCACATATGTTAAGGCCTATTGAGTCAAATTAGTGTTCCCAGTTGTCCCTTTGTGTGAGTTCATCCACTGTAGCCTGTTCGACCTATCTACTGTCACTCCCTTAAAGAAGACCAACTCTCCCTCACCTTGCAGTGATCAGCTGCCAATAGTTCCTCAGCTAAAGTTAGGGTTTCTTACCATTTCCCCGTTCTATGCAAGGTTTTTGTCTGGTCTGAGTTTGCACGGGTCTTGTGCATGCTGTCACCATTACTGTAAGTTTGTATGATAAAGTTCCCAGCTGCCTAGAAAACTCTGTTTCCTTGTGGTCATCTGCTACCCCTGGCTCTTATAGAATCTAACTGGATTCTTGATTGACACATACATAGCAACTGTAACTACTTAACATATATTGTAAGAAAGAATATAGATAAACACAAGAATAAATCCCTAAATTATAGTAGATAGAGATCTGAAAGCATCCCAGGTCTGGAACTGATACTCATTGAGTATTGGGGGAAAAAAAACAATGGAAAAATACTTTCTGTCAGAGGCAAAGCACTCCAATAGTTTCTTACTTCCTAAATGATAGAAAAGGTGAGCATAAAGTGCATGCTTGAGAGAAAGAACTGAGCTCATCATAGAATAAGATTTGCAGGCTCAAAATATGAAGCAGTTTAACATCGCTTCTCTTGAATCCTTGCCAGCTCTGACACTTCCGTGGTTAGAAAGTTACTCAATCTCTTTTAGCATCAGTTTCCTCATCTATAAAATGGGTATAATTCAATTTAGAACATTGTGCTAGTCAGTTTTCATCATCATGAGAAAAAATACCTAGGGAAATCAAAGGATGAAAGATTTATTTTAGCTCAAAGTTCCAGAAGTTTTAGTCCATGGTTTCCTTGGCTCCATTGTTGTGGGGTGTGCTGAGGCAAAACATGAAAGCAAGCACATAGTGAAGCAAAGCTGTTCATCTTATAGTTGCTAGGAAACTAAGCGCAGGGCAGCAGGAGCATGTCAGGATAAAACACCCCCACCTGGGGCAGACCCCAAGGAACCCACCTCTATCTAGACCCACCTCTTAGTTTCTGCCACTTCCCAGTAATGCCATCAAGTTATGAATCAGTCTATGGGCTCATCCACTGATGAGGCTTGAGCCCTCGTGAGCCAATCACTCTCCAAAAGCTGATCACCTTCGACCAAGGCTTCCGTATACAAGCCTTTAAGGATATTTCACATCCAAACTACAGCAAGCATTGTTGAGAAGATCAGATGAGATAATTATATAAGGTGCCCAACTACTAAGAGTTGCCTACAGAGCTTTTTAAATGGTTAAATTACCTAGGGTAAACACACACCTCGTATAACAGAGGAATCTTTGCGATGAACTAACCACAGCACAATCTCAGTTATGTGTGAAATCTGAAAGAGTTGATCTCAGGGCTGGGGAGATAGCTCAGTCCATGAAGTGCTTGACGTGCAAGCATGAAGACTTCAGTTCCATCCCCAGAATCCACATTTAAAAGGAGCCAGGCATAGCAGTGTGCACTAGAAATCCTAGTGCTAGGGAGAGGAGAAAGAGGGAGGATCCCCGGGGCTCACTAGCCAGCCAGCCTGGCCTATTTGGCTAGTCTCAGGCCAGCAAGTCTGGCTTCTGCATGCAGGTACATCCATGCACACACAAACACAACTGACCCCATAGATGTTGAAATTAGAATGGTAATTATTAGAGGCTTGTGACAAAAGAGAGGAGGGTAGAATGAGAAAGCTTGAGTGAGAGTACTAAGTTATAGTGAGATAGGAAAAAGAGTTTCTAGTGCTGTATTGAGCAACAGCAAAACTCTAGATAATTATACTGATATTTTTATAAAGCTAGAAGAAAGAATGTTGAGGGCCAGTGTGATGGCTCAGCAGGTAAGGGTGCTTGCAGCCAAGCCTGATGACCTGAGTTTGACCCCAGGAGGCACATGACTAAAGGAAAGACTGAGTCCTGTGAGTTGTCCTCTACCACACATGACCCCATTAAATAAATAAATATAAAAAAATTTGGATGTTTTCATCACAAATAATTATAAATATTTGAGAAGATAAATGATTTTAAATTACATGAAATACATGTGTAAAAATATTATTACCCCATAAATATATAATGTATCAGTTAAAATAAATCAATAAAATAAAATAAACTGAATAATTCAGGAAAGAAAAACAGGAGACGCATGTTAATGGCAGCATCAGATGAGAACTTCCAGACTCTTCACATTGTTCTTCACTGTTGACTCTCGGCCCTTTCATAAAGCAGAGGGCCAAAGACTGGGCAATAAAGCAATACTGACTGAATCAGCCAACACTCAAACAGGCTCAGCTGTCTGTGACGTCGCCACTGTCATGGAGGTACTTTGATATCTCCCAAAACACTTAGCTATAGGGAAATAATCATAGGCAAAGCAATATATAGACCACATACATGTAGAGATAGACATGAGCCCTTTCCTAGTGATCTCACTGTGAAAGGAAGGGAAATTCAAGTGGGATCTCACAGTTCAGTCAGATTATCTTTTAGGTTGTTACATGCATAACAACCAAATAAAACATCCCCACCACATACTGCAATGTGTGTAAATGTAATTATACTTTTTACTTTAAAAAATCCTCACAATTGAGACTGGACTGATGGCTCAACAGTTAAGAGCACTGGCTGCTCTTGCAAAGGGCCCAAGTTCAGTTCCCAGCACCCATGTGACAACTAACAACTGTTCATAATTCCAGTTCCAGGGGATCTGACACCCACTTCTGACCTCCACAAGCATTGCGTACATGTGGTGCATCTATATACATATAGGCAAAACACTCGAACACATAAAAAAATATACTCCACAATTATTTCTTCTACTCTGTGTGGTATAGAAGCCCTCATATTTGGCATTAGTTCATAAAATATGCTCCTAACCCAAATTTGGTAGCATTTTCCCATAACAAGGAAAAAATAAAACCATCCAAAAAATTAACTTTTTACAAAAGAGTGATATGAAACACTGCCCTTGGATTTTAAAGTTTGCAAATTTTTTTAATAAATGAGGTCATATTCAACAAGGAAGGAGAAATTGTTTTCCTATTTAAGAAGCAAATCATACAATCAAGACTAATTCAAAAGACTCCAGTTACTATGAAGTTACCAAATCATGTGTAGAATCCACATCCCCCCTGCCCTGTCCATGTCAATTGAAATAAATGAATAAACAGCCCAGACTTGTGAATTCCACACAAGTCTGAGCTGTAGTAGCCATTAGAATTTAATGCACAGGATTCCAGGGCCAGGAGGAGTTGTGCAAGTCATCTTTTTCATCCCTCTCCTTCCAATCTTTAGAACTGTCAAAAACACACAACTCTCCCTTGTGTCCTTGAGTGTCACTGCCTCTGCACCCCCATTCTTCCTAGAGGGTGTCTGAAAGAAGAACCCTAACTTCAACCTCAGAGGTAGCTGGTCTCCCTCACCTCCAAAGCAGAGAGTCCTATAGTAAACTCCCAATTCTTTCCCTCTCCCTCAAGCTTCTAGACTTCTAGAGCCTCCCATTCTGTTCCTCCATTCACACTGTCCTAGATGACTTTTCACTGCCACAGTCCATCCCACCAAACCCTCCTCTGTTGGTACTGTTTGGTTTCTTCTGGTTGCATCCCACATTCTCTGCCTCCAGTTCTTGTGGATATTTCTTCCATTAGTATCCAGGTTGTATGAAGGCACAGTGTGAGCCATGGGTAAGCATTTCAAAAGAATAAACCTAATGATTACCATTACTCTATTCTTTATTATTTATCATAAACCCCCTAAACAAAGCTCTCAGTCCACAAACACTCTCTTCAGTCACATATCTGCAGACCTTTTCTTTTTCTTATTTTCTTTGACCTTGATGATTAATACATCCTTGCTTATTTAAAATTCTTCCTTTCTTTGACTTCTAGGGCACTCTCTTACCCCAGCATTTGCCAGAGAGTTCAGAATCAGAGAGTTAATCAGCACATATTAGTGGACTTGAACTTGAAAAATCTAAAATACTTTTGTCTGTTGCCACCACTAATGACCAGATCTGAAAACAGGTGATAATACAGCCTGTTCCCCCATCATGCTCCCTCATCTTCCACATCCGCACATGCCCTGTTCGCTGGCTCCTTTGAAGCCTTGGCTCACATATGACCTCCCCAGAGAGGACTTCCCTGACCATCAGGTACATCTTCACCAAAGGCAAAACTCAGGGGTCCACAAAGACAGCATGTACACCACAAGTTGTTTATGCCAAACTCATCCCCAGCTCACCTGGATCAGGGTCTCCAGCTCCTGGGGGCTCACACAAATATGATCCCTCAAGAATTCTGCCTTCTCCAAAGCAATGGTGTTCTTCTGGCTGCTCTCAAAGGGCTGCTCCAGTGCCCGGAAGACAAGGCCGCCCGTGACGAGGTAAACAACCACAACCACAAAGATGGCAACCACCGTTTTCCACTTCATAACCGTCTGCAGGCCCCCCTGGGAGGCGCCTTCCATCCTGGCTACCACCGTGGCTCTGGAGGAAATGGAGAGGCGCGGAACAGGATGGTGCCCGTTAGTGGCGCTCTTGGGCTGACACACTGGTGGGGCTGCTGCGGGCACGGCCACTGAAGAAGCAGGTGGAGGGAAAGGAGAGAAGAAAATTTGTTTATAAATACAAAACACTAAACTTGTCAGCAACAAAGCACAAATGTCTTCCTTCAACCAGCTTTCAAATGTGAGGATTAAAAACTGGTTCACCAAGCCTGCAGTTGGGGAATTTGATCAGTTGCTAGGTGCCTGTTTTGAGTTCTTAAAAATGAGTACCAGGAGTCCTAATTCTAAAGGGAAAAGTATCAGTTGAGTTTGAAATGCTTATATTTCTCTACAAGCATCCAAACTGGAAAGCTATATCTATTTATAACTCATCTCCTCCTTTAGCTTTCTTTTTCAAATAATGTGTACAAATCATGACAAACAACCATATTTGAAAAACAAGTATATTGTTCAACTGAAAGAAAAATCAGTACGAGGAATATCTAACTACTTTATATAAGTACAAGAAGAGATAGAGACAAGCATCCAGTAATTTTAAAAGCCCATCTTAGGGGCTGGGAAGATGGCTCATGTAAGCATGAGAACCTGAGTTTGAATCCTTAGCAAACACATAAAGACCTGGTACAACAGCGCACACCTCTAACCCCAGCACTGAGGGGACAGACAGGCAGATCTCTGGTGTTTGCTGGCCAGTCAATCAGGCCAATTGTCAAGTTCCAGGCTCAGTGACAGACTCTATCTCAAAGGACTTTGGGATACACAAACTTGACTCAATAGACCTTAACATATATAACAGAATGCATGAAATCGGGGGGGGGGGGGGATTGGGCAGGAGGTCTAAATATGAATAAGATGTGTTGTATGAAA